GGGTCCATTGATGCTGCCTCTCGGCTTGACTTTTTGAAGAACCGGTTGTCGAAATGTTCGATGTCGCTGAGGAAGTTGCCCAGGAAAACAGACTTTTCTGTGCTGCGTCTGTGGTCTCTGGTGGGAAAGCGCCCGGTCGGCGCCTCGGTGACCATGGACAAGCCAGAATCCAGTAGCTTCCAGTATTCCTCCACTGACTCTGCCCCGGGAAACTTGCAACCCATACCGATGACGGCAATCGCATTGGCCGGTGAATCTTCGATATCGTTGGTGGCGCTGTAAGCTGATGTTGCGGCCATGTCTGTGGTTGGTGGCGTTGAGCCAAATTTCCAATGTGAGGTGGATGTGTAGGTCTTGTCAGCCAATTTGCTGAGTGACTCCTCGTGTTGAATGGAGGTTTTGGTTGCTGCGATCAAGTTGAGCACCAGAAGCTTACTATTCCTTAAGATATCAACCGCTATCAAGACAGCAACTCAACGTTCCCATAAGGACAAGAACAGCCTGGATCGACCTTGATCTCAGGGGTGTCAACTCGGGTCCGTGCTTGAAGGGATGTCACCACGCAGTCTTGACACGGATCCTCGTGAGAGCTTAGTCCAGCGCAAATAAGGCAGTGTGACCGATAACCACTAGTATGCAAACCTGGTTTCTCGCAAGAATTGCTATATTCGAATAACAAGCTCTATGTCGAGTTTGGTCAGCTACCATCAAGAAACTGGTCACTACCGAGGAAGTTGAATACCGTTGTTGGATTGTAGGGTTAGAGTTTCTCCTCAAAGCGGTAATCCCAGTGCAGGTCACCTCGCTCATCAGACCCAGCTCGGGTCCCAGCAGCCTCGACAGGCACAAGCAGCATTCTATCAAAGACCTATAAGATGATTCAAGGTAATTGCCGCAAGATATCCTATCACTCCGCCGGTATGTAGGTAGGAACCTAAGATAGCATCCATGATGGCGGCGTTCTCGTATCTGTCGGCTACCCAAAAGGCGCCTATCGCTCACGAGGTACCCAGTGACGAAGGCTATCATGGGCTTGATCCACTACATCACAGTTTAGGTATCAAAGACCTCGGACCTCGTGCCCTCTACCAGTTGTGTAGGTAACCAAGCTGTTGTCATTCAAGAATTATGTAACAGCAACCTACTTTAGGTAGCTTACACACTGGCTATCGGATTACCTCGCTTGATACGTACATGATCTCACGTCACATTTCATAGCAATGCTTTGGTGTGAGTTTATGGAGCAAATAATCCCCGTATGTACCCTATCATCAACCCAGCACACCGCTATGCTTCCAGTACTTGATATACAGCCGCACCTGTTCACTGTCAACTGGCCCCAATCCTCTCAGTGTAGGTGAAGCCTTCCGAGCCAAGACGGTGTCCAAGATTATCCCTCCACACGACATCTTGCGAAACTCATTCTTCAGAAAACGCGACAGTTTCTTCGCAGGGTTACCCTGATCTGGCGCTGACATGACAGCTTCCACCCATTCCTCAAACGACACCACTTGTGTAGAAGCGAACCCCAACTCACTGGACAAGAGCGTGATCATTTCATGCCAGCTTTGCCGTACTGGGTTCTCCAAGTGGTAGACAAGCTCCGGTGGCTGATCGTTGAGCAAAATATCGACTACCGCTGCTGCAGTAGCATCGACTGGCAGCCAAGAAAGAGTCTGAGCATCTGGTTAGCAAGGCCACTTTCACCAAGGCACGTTCCATTTCTACTCACCCCTTGAAGATCTGGAATGAGGCGGACTTTGCACGACGAGGCGACAAGCGCAACAAAATGTTCATCCACGTTCCAATATCCACTCCGAGAGCCGGCGATTTGGCCCACACGCGCAAAACCTGTCTGGATCTGGGGGTAATCGCGCGCTGCTCGCTCGACTATCTTCTCGCATACCAACTTTGCTTCTGCGTACCCCAGTTCAAGAGCGCAGTTTTGGCCACTGACAGCCTCTTCTGGCACAAGACGCTCTTTGTGAAGAGAGGGATAGTTCCCGACTGTGGATATGGATGAAATGAATAGAAAGCGAGGTCTCTTCGATGGCTGGAGTCGGTGAGACTCGGAAGTTAGCTGTATCAAGTTCTGCAGAGCTCGAAAGGCGGAACCAAAAGACTGGAGGGACATGTTGAAGTTCATTGGCCAGGCAGCGTGCACCACATGTGTGGCTTTGGATGCGATTTGCTGGTACACGCCACTGTCCAGGCCAAGAAAGGGCGCCCCCACGTCTGCCCCGTAGATCTGTATCTTTGACCACTCTGAGTCAGACAGCTCGATGTTTCGGGCTTTCAAGGCATTCTTCTGCCTTTCCTGCGCTGGTTCGGCTGAGGGTCTGATGAGAGCGATAACCCCGGCCACTGTCGGGACTTTGACAAGTTGTGCCAGAATAAACGACCCAAGACTTCCAGTGCTGCCGGTCATGACCACGACTGCCCGTTGCGCAATGGTTTCTGAAGTCACGTTGGAGTACCTGTCCGCAATTTGCTCCAGGTGACCCAAGCTCGACAGCCCATTCTGAATTGTGTTTTGCGTTACAATGGCCTCAGCAAGCCGACTGACAGAAGGATTGCGATAAACAACATCGTCAGCCACGTTCCTAACATCCACCTCCCAATTTCTACCTTCTTGCGCGGCCGCTCTCAGCGAAGCAACCAACAGTCTCCGCAACCTCGTCGCCTGCAAGCTATCCATCCCAAGCTCGAAAAAGTCATCCTCATCCGACCAATACCCACCCCTAGACGCCATCACCGCTTTGACCAAACCCCTGACGCTTTCCCGCGGCGAAGAAAGATCAAACGCCGGCGCACTGGCCATAGCATCAATACACCTATACACGCCCGCAATCTCCCTCTCAAAAACCCGATTCACCTCCCTCCTCAACACAGTCCCCTTATCCGACCTCGGCAGAGCCCCAGAACCAACAAACAAAATCGCCGCCGGGGAAGAAACCCTCGCATGGGCATCCATCTGCCTCCCTGCCTCCTCCACCAGAGGCCATATCTCCCCCCTTAGCTCATCCCCGTCAGCCACCTCCCTCGTTGTCGTCTCAACAATAACCCCAATCTCGAACTGCGCATCCCCAAACGCAACGGCAGTCTTGACTTTGTCATGCTGTTGGAGGATAGTCTCCAGCATCGTCGGGCGGACCTTCTCCCCGGTAGCAAGACAAATGAGATCGTCTGTTCGTCCCGCGATACGAAACTCCCCAGGGAAACCCTCCCGAGCGAGGAGCAAGTCTTGTAGTTCGAAGCGTTCTGTCCAGCCAAATGGCCGCATGCTGAGTTTATACGCCCGACCTAAAAATTCACCATCTGTTGTCGTTGGCATCAGCTCCACCTCCATCGCGTAGTCAATATCCCTTCTCAACCGAATAAACCGCCAGTCATGTCCAGCAGGCGGGACAAAAAACGGGGTTAGGGGTCCTGTCTCGGTCGCGCCGTAGTGGTTGATGAGTCTTACACCTGCTGCATTAAGACGTTGGCCGATAGAAGGCTTCGGGAGGCCGCCTCCAAAGGCGACGAAATCGAGTTGTTGGAGGGCGGTTACTCCTTTGTTGTCTGGGAGGGAGGCGATGTCTTCGAGAAGTGAAGGGACAGTCAGCAGGGCTTTGGAGCTGGAGGCTTGGAGGAGCTGGACGATGGAGGAGCCGGTGGGGAGTTCGGAGGAGGGGGGAATGCAGAAGGTTTTGCCGATGCCGAGGGAGAGGCACATTGGTACTAGGCCGAAGCCCTATGATGGTGGTTAGGTAACTGCGCGGCTGTGTTGTGAACCTGAAGGGGGAGGCGCTTACGTGAAAGAAGGGCGATGACGAGACGGTTAGACCTTGGCGTTGTTCTGCCGTTTCAAACTCGTGACATTGAGAGAAAGCGAGGAAGTGGGCGTGGGTGCAGTAGATTGGTTTTGGGAGTCCAGATGTGCCGGATGAGTGCAGAATTAGCGCTGGATTGGTGGTCTGCACCGACACATTGGTCTCCAGAGGGGAGTCCAGGTCGTTCAGGAAAGTTTGGTACCCGGCGGCGGTAAAGACCTGAAGGCCTTTGTTTTGGGGTTCACCATTCTGGAACTTGGTATCGACCGCCGGGGTTGGCTCGTCTAGCATCGAACGGAGACGCTGCGAGGCAATGACTGTTGTGGCTCCAGTGCGCCCGATGAGATGGTGAATTGCGGTCGCGCTGAGCCTTGTTGAGAGCAGAACCGCCGGTATGCCCAATCTCATAAGAGCCAGGATGTAGACGGCCAGACCGAGATCGCTCTCCATCAGTAGGACTATCGGTCCTTGTGATCCATCAGCATCACCTTGCCCCCGCCGAGTACGTTGTTGAAGATGAGACAAATGTGCTTCGAGCCATTGGCAGCAGTTCGTAATAGCCCACTTCAGGGTGGTATAAGTCACACGGCTCAAAGAGTACCCATCAAGACCTGGTTTCTTTTCAGCTTGAACACAAAACAAGTAGTCGGGATTCTTTTCGGCGTGGAACTCGACAATGTCGGAGAGAGAACGGATGGCATCTTGTCGGTCAGGCTCAAGAGTCACCCTCGCAGGAATGAAAGCACGCATCGGAACGGCCTCTTTTGGAATGTCTTGTGGCCTTGGTCTCAGTGAGGAGTGGTTTTGCAGTCAAGATTAGACTTTAAGTGACATTGCAAAATATTCTGTCAATATGGTGTTGAATGGGACTCTGGCTCGTTCAAGAGTGAGACCCGAGTCGCGCGTGCCAACAACTCGGGTCTGCTAACAGAAAACAGTGGTAATTGCGAGCAACCTTGTTAACGTCATTCAACTCGGTCAATGTTAACTCCAGAACAAAGATATTACAATGATAGAGCAGTAGGCTGCTACATGATTCGTATTTGACCAAACATTCCATATATGCTAAGAGACAGGCCCTTCGATGTACATTAAAATGAAGACCACGACCACTTCGGTCCATGCATAGAAAATACCCCTGAATGTGCCCCTGACTGGCCAAGTCAACAATGTGGAGCAAAGCCATCAGTCTTTGAGCAGACGGATTACCACGTCTGCATTGAGGTTTAACAGATTGCCAATAACCTGCTGTGCGAGCTGCGAGTCAGCTTGCCTCAGGAGAACAGTGACACTTCCAGGTGCTTCAGCCTGTCCTCGGTAGTCTTGTTGGGGTGGCTGCTGCGTTGCTGGAGCAGCACTCTGAGGGTTCTCGTTTTGGGAAATTTGTGGAGCAACTTGAATCTCCGCGCCACCCATCAAGTGACCCATGTCCTGGCCACTCTCAAACGCCAGGCTCAGGTTTTCCGGCGAGAGGTGCTGATCGGGAGTTTGTCCCGAGGAGCTTGATTCAGTCGAGAACCAAAGCCACGGATGGGAGTCTGCATCCAGCGGCCGCACCTGCGTCAACATTGTTGCCGGGCTGGCCATTTCCCAGTTGGAAAAGATGGACGCATCTGCCAAGGTTTCCGACAGTGTGGGTGTTGGTGGGGCCGGGGCGGCGTCGACTTCCATCATCATGTGTTGGTCCTCGTTCAAGTTGGCTAATTCGGCATCATCAGAGCTCAAGTCGGATTCTTCGCCGCTCGAACTGTTGTCGTCTGCGTTGTCGTCCGAGAGATATTGCGTTGAAGTGGAAGGGTCGTCATTCGATGGGGCCCTGGACCGACGTTTCCGTCGATTTAAGGCGACGCTACTGCACCCAAAGATCTGTTAGCGCCAACTGGGAACCGGGGGGGGGGGATGGGGGCGGCCGGTGGTCTTGTTGGTTCGTGCTTACCGATTTCTAATATCATGGGTTGAGCGATCTGGCAGATCCAACAGTCCAATCTGCTTCCAGTTGTTGCCATATTTCGCAACTGCTTCCTGTAGTATTCTATCCTCTTCAGGGGTCCAGGGATCATGTCTGTGGTCCGGCCCGAGCACGTGTTGCCATCTTTTGGCGCATTCTGCCCGTAGGATGCAATCATCTCTTGTCAGATATTTCGGAACCAACAGCTTGACAGATAGGTATGGAACGACTTACGGTCGGCGTTCCGCGTTTGCATCATCTTGGACACTGCTGACCATCTGCTCCCAGTTAATGACAAGTCAGGTGACAAGATACATGTTAGTGTATCAAGGGACACACTGACTTTAATCCAGCCTGCGCCACAGCCTGTCGTAGCTTCCTATCCTCGTCGGGGGTCCACGCCCCCCTCTTGATATCGACTCGTACCTTGTGCCATCGCTTACGGCAATCCTTGTTCGTCCTGTCAGGCAGCAAAGCTGCCACCTCATTCCAGTTTTTGACAGCGCCGTGTGTATCGACTTTTGCCCACCAAGTCAGCGAGATTCACACAAATACTTCACCGAGGCTTGTGATGGAAGGGGTTGGTACTTTGCACCTTGGCCCAATCTCTGAGAATGTCGTCTTCGTCCTTCGTCCACCACCTTCGTTCCCGCCTAGAAACCTGGCCGGACATGGGATTGATGTGTCAAGGGTTGAACCTCGATATGCCCGTCGATGTTTGAAACGAACAGGAATTGTCCAGCGCTGTCCAGTCTACAAAAGAGAGAGAAGAAAGATGAAGACAATGTTTTAGCGATGATACCCCTCCGTCGCTGCAGACATCTGTAAGGTCTCGGTGGCCGGCTAGAATCTTTAACGCTGTCACCCCCCTATGGGGCGTGTGCAGCGGCTTGGGGATCTGGGTGCGACGTCACCTGCTTCGTAGGATCTGTTCTGAGACCGTCGTCTCTTTGCACAATGCAAGAGCTCTGCCTCGACAGTGCGGGGTTAGATATTGGACATCAGGTTTCAGAATGGGAAGCGGAGAGGCAAGCCGTCACCTGATTCTCTCATCGGCACCTCTCAACCGCCTTTCTCGAAGAGCCGCAAGTTCCCCTCACTCGACATCTGTCTTCCGGTCATGATCCCTTGCTTTGATCCTGGTCTTTCCAATACTCCCTTGGCCACCTGTGGGGCACCAAAGGGCCCAGGTTTTCCCAGACCCACACCGGTTTGCTCTTGGGGCTGGATTTTCTTACTGTTTACTTTTTAACCAACAACCAACTACTATAATACCAATTTGCTTACCATTTTTTGGCCATTTTAGCCTCATTTTCGTAGCTAATGACTTTCCTAGGTCGCTAGCCCAACAGGTTATGAGCTCTTTTGACGCTTAAATCACTAAGCAAACCGAAGTCGACGCCCTCGTCGATAACCCGACCTCGCAAGGCCGAATATTATATCGGACCTTACGACTTTTCGACCCTTGTTAGACTAATATTACGTAATTAGACCTTTCGATAGCGATTTTAAAAGCGTTAAAAAAGTTAATTAACTTCCTAATTAACGGAAGCCTGGTTTTAACCCTAACCCTTATTTTAACGAAAAGTTAAAGTAACCGACTACCCCTTACCGATAAAAGTATAGTTTACGGCGCTAATTTTTTTTTAATTAAATTTCTTTAATTCTATTATTTTTATAATTTTTTAATTAAAAAATTATTATTTTCCGGTAATAGTCGAAAACTCTATCCTACTTTATTAAGAGACCGATAGTAAAGTAAATATTTTACCCTTTACTTAAATTAATTTAATTTATTATTAACGGTTATAAAGTTAGGTAATACTTTTTTTTAAATTTTTTTTTTAACGTCTTTCTTATAACGTTTTTTTTACGATTTTTCTTTAATTAATTTTTTTTTAAAATAATTAATATTAATATTATTATAGTTTAATTTTTAAAGTTTATAAAAGTTATAAAGAATATTAATATTATTATTATAGTTAAATAACAAACCTTTTAAATTTTATTAGTTTTAAATTTAAAAACCGATTTTTTTAATTAAAAATTTTAATTAATTTAGTCCTTTATATATTATAATTTAAAAAACTATATTAAAATTAATATATAATTATTAATAAAAGAAGGGATATTTATTTTTAATTAAGAATATATTAATAATTTAAATATTTAAAATTTAATAATAATTTCTATTAAAAAGCTTAAAATTTAATAATAAATTTTTAATTTAAATTAAAAAGTTAATAATATTAATATTTATAATTTATATTAAAAAATTATTTAAATTTTATAGTACGGTACTTTCGATATTATTAATATATTTTTAAAAAAATATTTTATTTTTAAATATATTAATTTTATTTTATTTTAAATTTATTTTAATTAGCTCGAGGTCCTTTATTATTATTTTAATATAATAAAAATTAAAATCGGTTACGTAATTTACTTTTAAACTACCCTAAACGGTATTAAAACCGTATACCCCGATTTATATAATTAATTACTAAGGAAAATAAAAGATAGTATTATAATTTCATTATTTTTTTATTAAGAGTATAGTACTAAAGCCGTTATAGAAAAAACTATATCGGCTTATTTTAAAATTATTATTAAAATTACTAAAGTTCCGGCCGCGACTATATTTCTATTTATTATCTTATTAACCTCGATAAAAAAGTCTAATTAATATACTAAAGGTTCAAAAAAAAATAATTACTATTATATAAATTATAATCGTTATTATTTAAAGGGTACGGTTTCTTAATAATATAATT